CAAAGTGCTGGGATTACAGGTGTGAGCCACCAAGGCAGTTTCTTTTTTCTTTTTTTTTTTTTTGGTGAGACACAGTCTTGCTCTGTTGCTCAGGCTTAAGTGCAGTGGTTCAATTACGGTTCACTGCAACCTTTAACTCCTGGGGGCTCAAAGTGATCCTCTTGCCTCGGCCTCCCAAGTTGCTGGGACTATGGACATATGTCACCACGCCTGGCTAATTTTTGTAGTTCTTGTAGAGATTAGATCTCCCTATGTTGCTCGGGCTGGTTTTGAACTCCTGACCTCGTGTGATCCTCCTGCCTTGGCTTCCAAAGTGTTTAGATTACAGGCATGAGCCACCATGCCTGGCCTGTGTGTTCTTTCACAGCAGACACCAGAACCCTTTCTTGTTCCCCAGTGCTGTGTCAATAACTGTGCAGCTGATTTAACTGAGAGAAAAGGTAGGAATTGTTTTCTGAAGCATTCTGAATGAGAAGGGAAACCTAATGAGTTTTGAATTTTATTGTGGCTAACACATTAGATGCATTATTAAGGTTTGACAATATGGTGACTGCCTATAAAGACTTTTGCAACCAGTGCCTGTAACCTTCATTCCAAATGAACGTTCTTGTGATGGCTCCAATGTTATAGACAAGCATTAACAGCCAAAAAGAAAAAAGGAAATCTCCTTATGGTGTGAAAGGCCTCTCAGCTGCAGCTGCCCTGACACCCAGACGAGCCCTCCCAGCTGCAGAGGGTGATTTCAGTCCATGTCAACTCTCCTGCTTGTCTTTACAGCAGAATGAATTCTCTTTTGTCTCAGCCTTTCCCGATTCATGTTTTCTATCCTGAAAACAAAAAGACTGCAATTAGGCCCAGATGCTCAATCAGTGCTTTTCAAAGTGGCAAGAGGAGTTGGAAGCTCAACGGGAAGCCGAGAAGCCGAGCAGTTATACCAGCAGGCACTAGCCCGCAGGCCTCCGTCCCAGGTCAGCATCCTCCTCTTCCTAGAGCTTCTCCCATGGCCGGCCTTGGACTCTCCCCTGCCCCTTCCTTACCTGTGTAGACTCTTGTCCATACAAATCAGTTTATAGCAACTTAGGGCATTTCCTGGTACCTGATTCTCTGAAGTTTAACATCTTCTTTTGTTGGCTCCTTGGGTGTCTTGCTGGCCTCAGCGATCATGTCTCGAATTTTCTGCAGGCAGTCTG